ATATGAATTTACTTGTATAAACGATGATATAATTTTCGTAATAATGAGTGAAAAGTTAAAAGAATATCTGTAAAATAATAATAAAAAAATTAAAATTAAAAATGTTTCTTCATTTTTTGTTATAAAAATGTATTGTTCTTGCTTGAATTAATTTTATTTTTAATACTAGTTTTGCTAATATTATATAAACGAATTACAGCGTAACCTAAATAGTTACTAACTAATCATAATATGTATGATGTGTATTTCACATTTCTARTTCAAACGAAATAATTGATCAATAATTAATTGTTATTTTAGGCCYTGGCTACAAATGGAGACATTTACAGTTTCGTCGTACATTCGAAAATCAAGTACAGATATGCACAGACTGTTGTATCAAGTCGCGTTGCCAACAAAAAAAATACTTCCCAAGAAGTACAGTTCTACGTAACTCTTCCAGAATCTGCATTTGTTTCTAAATTTTTAATGTAAGTTATTTATTATTTTATATGTTACTATTAATTTGATATTGTTGGATCATAAAATCCAATTAATCAGTCCTTTTTTGGATTTAGGGAAATAAACGAAAAAGTGTACGAAGCTTACGTAAAAGAAAAGAAAGAAGCCAAAGAAGAATATATTGCTGCAGTTAACTCGGGTCAGACGGCGGCTCATGTCGAGCAAAAGTAAGTACAGTCTATAGTGACCTTAAAATTTAAAATCATTTCTCAACTTAAATGTTGACAAAWWATACTTRATTGTTGTATCTACAGCGCAAGAGAYTCGAATAAGTTTACGGTTTCTGTACACGTGGAAGCTGAAAGTAAAGTTACGTTTAATCTCACTTACGAACAATTGTTAAACAGGAAATTGGGAATTTATGAAAACATAATAAACTTACAACCCGGACAAGTGAGTAGCTACAAGTCCTCTGTCATGGACTTATTATGACTGTCGGAATCCTAATATTATCTTGTAATTATTGTTATTATACGAGTAGGTAGTTAAAAACTTGCAAGTTATAGTAGACATCGAAGAGTCATCGAACATAACGAAATTGGAAGTGCCAGACATAAAAACAGCAAATGAAATAGAAACTACAATTAGTAGTAAGCATACATAATTATTAAACAATTTGCGGCGTGAATATTTTCTTTAATCGATATAGCGCATTGAAAAGTTGTCTATCTATAGTATTAAGTATAGGTTCAAGTAATAACAAACAACATTAATAAAGTAGTTCAATAGAGCAATTTAGTTAATGAAACAAATTTTATTACTGAAATATGTTATTGTTTTCATCAATTTTTTAGTATTATACAATTAACTACATTTCTTTACAATGAGCCATTAATATATTTTAAAATAAACCATGATCATTTTAATTATTGTTTTGCCTTCCTATTTCGTAATATTTTATCTTTTTCATACAATTATTATGTTGTACCTAGATTCTATTCTAATGACATACAAATGTATTTCAGAAAACAAATTGGCGAAAATTTCCCATGAGTCAGGCAACAAAGCAACGATAACATGGAGTCCAAGTGTTAAAGAGCAATTAACATTTACGGATCGTGGTGTTAAAGGCCAATTTATAGTTCAATATGACGTAGATCATAAATCTGCACCAAATCAAGTTCTTGTATGTTATTTATAATTAATAAGTATAATATAATATACTTCTCGTTGTGGAATATGTACGTCAGTCATGTAAAATTTATGTTTATGAAATAACGTAATTTTTGTTTACTTATTTTTTTTTAATACATATTGAATTAAAGAGCATATTTTAACGAATCATTAGAAATGTTTATATACATAAATTTTAAATTTTTTATTAAATTAAAATTTTTTCAAATAAAATGTAACCATACACTGGCACATTAAAAAATAATCGAGTTATTCAATAAATTAATCGTGTATTATATTAATTTTAGTGTAAAAATATCCTCACAAATTTGATAACAAAAACTAAT